AAATATACGCTGAGTTCCATTTATCGATGTTGTCAATACTATAAGATCCTTATGCAGTCCACACATACAGATTTCATAATAAGATAATATAAAACCAATGAAATTTTATCAATTTTTGATCCCTAATTTTTAGGGGTACATGGGAACCTGTCAGAATGCCCAAGGCCAAGGGCTACAGAGGAACAAAAAGGTTGGGAATTCCTGATCTAAGACATTCATTTCATAGGGTTTACGTAATTAAGATAAATCCTTGATTCGGGCGTCAGGTTAAGTGCAAATATTGAATACTAACGTGACTTGTAATTTTAAACCAAATCAGCAAATGGTTTTAAAACCTGCCATAAATACGAAGCGACACAAGACAGTAGTATCTCGTGTGACATTTAACAGAATTAAACAATTGGTAGGCATACAAAGTGCCCCCCCCCCCAAAGGTGAGCGCAAACGATCAGGGAAGTCAGTAGTGCAATAATGCAAAATTAAGCATGTTGGTATATTTTTTATTAATGAAAATGAAACGCTGTCTTAATGTGTTAAAGCAAACTTAAAATTTACTAAACTTACCTTCACACTCCTGATTATTGTGTTTTAATTTATTTCAACTTTAAAACAAATTTTCCCTTAACCGTGTAAAATATTAAAACTAATGGTATTTAAATCTTACTTGTGAGTTTCTTTTATACCCAATCAAAGTGACGTAGTATGCGCGTGACATTACATCACAGTAAGACTAATAATAGTTTAAGTCACACATCTTTCTTCTATAAGGGCTCAAGACGGATTTCCAGTAAAAAAAAAAAAAAATGTATAATGATATCTCGACTATACTTTATTGTATGCTGGATCTCATCAGGCTGTCTGGATTGCCTCTTGTTTGTTTGTTATTAAGCACAAAGCTACACAATGAGCTATCCATGCTCTGCTCACCGCGGGTATCGAAACTCGAATTTTAGCTTTGTAAGCAGTGAGACTAACCGATGAGCCACAGAGAGGCGAATTGTCTTTTAATAGACTAATATGAATAGCGTTTCAGTAAAGTCATTGTATGTAAATCCAACCAGCCTAATGAGCTCTAGTTCAGTACAAGACCTCGTCGTCGGTAGCGTACGACAAAAATGGTGTCGATCGAATTATTTATATTTTTCAAGTTTTTTGTTTTTCTCTTATTCATACACTTTCTGTTATACACCAGTACTGTTAATTTGTTCTGTGCAAATCATGAGACATTGAAAAAAATATTACTAAACATTTTTTATGCATGTACTTGTTTGTTATTTTAATATATTGTTTTTTTCGGCAGGATGATATCCTATCACACGACCATGTTAAGCGCTGATTGGCCTATGAATAACCGTTCGGGAAAGGTATGTTAGTTGATAGTATCCAGCTCGCGCCAAAAGGCGTCCATGTTTGTCACACTTGGAAAATGGGACTAACTGCACTTTGCAAATTTTTATCAATCCAGAATAAGAATATTATAATATAGGCTTCGTGAAAGTAAACCAACGTTTACACTGAAAATTATTTGAGCAGTTGCTAAGTCGCGGCATGGTTAACATTCCTTGAAGAAGCACAAAACAATAAAATACTTTCAACAGAACCCAAGTAATATGATAAACTTCGGGGCCTATTTTCAGCTTCTTATAGTTGTTACATCAAGTAGGAATACTGATTTGGCTAGCACGATTGACGTTTCGAACTTTAAGATAATGGCGAATTTGCAATTCGATGGACTTCGAGTCCAAAACGAGGTTTCAGTATGGTGGAGAAATACTGGGCCTCATGAAGAGGAAATCAAAACTTTTTATTTTAATCGCGGTATAGCTGACACGTCTCATAAACTTTAAGCCAAGCAGATGCTCACGCAGTTCGAGAAGCTCTAACCACAAGTTCAAACTTTCATCGGTTTATGAAATATAAAACATCTATGTGACCCAACTGTTTGCTAAACAGAAGCAGCATAAAATATCTTTAATCTATTATCAGTAGAATAAAAGGAACACCTTGCCTTTTAACTCCTGGTGTTGAGAAATCGGTAATTCCTAACTCGAACTTCATTTGCCAGTATGGTGCAATATCAGTGCATATTTCCAACTTTGTTGCCATATTGTTGGGCCTAGTTTCATTATATGCTATACCACAGGCAAAAACTTCTCCATCCCGCCCTGCACTGTTCATAACACGGCCGTCTTAGTATGGGGTAGCTAAGGAATACTAGAATGTTCTATTTTACCGTTTTACAAAGCTGTTGAGAAGTTTAATATTTCAGAAGCAGCCATTTAGCCGAAACCACACCCATCTAGCATTTTAAACTGTTTCCAAAAGGCTTGCAAATTTAATCAAATGTCTTATTGTTTCGTAGAGCGCATAAGACGACGAGTGAGCTTCTTGTTGTGGATGTCTATTTATTTATTTTATCAGTGCTGTTTCTCTATTATGTAATATCAATAGCTAATAAAGTCCTCCATACTAAACTCATCACTATTTGCTTGCTTATGTAAACATAACTATGCGTGTTTTGATCTCATTAAACATATAATACATCGGTACATTCAAGTACAGTCGAACCCCGAATTACACGAGTTCGAGTTACACTGATTCACGTATACGTGCTTTATGTAATGCGACCAATGTTTCAACTCAAGTGATGCCCTGCTTTACGTATACGTGGTAGAGCGGTTATTGATTTGAAGTCTTGATACGTGATATGAAAAAACTTGGAAAAATGAAAACAAAAAACAAATTGACACGTCTGAATGAAAAGTTTTTTATTTTATTAATGCGACATTTCGAACAGACGATAATCGTCAGGCAATGTAGACCGTGTTATAATTGAATTAGGCTAGAAGAAAAACATCAGGCTGGAAAAAAAAACATGCAAAACATGTCACGAAAAATGCACCATTTAAATTAAAACGTGAAAGCCTTGAACATCGTCTTATCTTCCAACTTAAAACTAAGATCCCTTGTGATTTAAACGAAGGATTTAGTTTTTGTTTGTTTTGAATTTCGCGCAAAGCTACACGAGGGCTATCTGCGCTGGCCGTCCCTAATTTAGCAGTGTTAAGACTAGAGGGAAGGTAGCTAGTCATCCACTGCCAACTCTTGGGCTACTCTTTTACCAACGAATAGTGGGATTGGCCGTCACATTATAACGCCCCCACGGCTGAAAGGGCGAGCATGTTTGGTGTGACGGGGATTCGAACCCGCGACCCTCGGATTGCGAGTCGAGCCGTTACGTTACCATAACTATCATATCGTATAATATCATCATTTTATTATTTTGGGAATTTATATTTTTGAATCCAATTTTAGTTGTTCAAGTTTGTTTGGTTTTTATATTACTGCTAATTTTATTAATGTTTACATAATAAGTCCAACACTGTTTTATCAATACTTTTGTCACTGTGGTCCACGTTGGACGTGTCTAATTAGAAGTATTATTTTATTTTTAACGGTTTTTCTAACCCGATTTCTTAAACTGTAATTTCATCAAGTTTTAAATTGTGAGTAAATGTTTTAATAAGGCTGTTAATTATTTATTTATTATTAATTAATTTATTATTAATTAATTATTATTTTGGGTTTACATACCCTTTTATTATGAAATAAGATTACCAAATCTTGGTCCCAGGTCCCCCTATTTTCCATAGACTAATGCCTCGAGTTACACAGTGTTTTTTAAGACCGTATCCCCCGCGTAACTCGGGGTTCGACTGTATTATCTTCATTTACTGCAGTTTCAAGCGCCTCCTGGTCACGAGTATAT